AAAATGATCCTGAATAATGAACAAAGAAGTATCAGCCTCACAACCTTTGCATCATCGAGTAGTCATCTGGTTGGGCATAAAATAGTTGGATTTCTTTTTTGCCCGAAAAATTGCATTGCTACCTGGCGGCTGCATGTAATGCCATAAAATTAAGCAATATGACAAAAATGTGCGTTTGACCGAAAAATAACTTCCTTTTTTGGTGATTACCAATATAACAGGAAAAATACTCAGGTTTCACCCTTCAGGGCGACTTTGCACTGAATAATTGCAGAGGGGTTTTGAGAGTATGCAATAAATACTCGGAGGGATGTCAGTCTTGCGATAGACAATTGGTTAGGACGTCTGACACTCCTTCATCTGAACTTACTCCATGTCGGTCTCTTGAAATTGCTGATACTCATTCGCCAGATCGTTGATGTTTGACTCAGCCTCAGTGAACTCCATTTCGTCCATGCCTTCTGCCGTGTACCAGTGTATGAAAGCCTTTCGTCTGTGCATAGCTGCATACTGCTCGATGACTCGAGCGAATATCTCCTGTACAGCTGTATTGTTTCCCACGAACGTGGCCGCCATTCGCATACCCCTTGGGGGCACATCACAAACGGCGGTCTTCACGTTGCTTGGTATCCACTCAACAAAATATGTAGAATTTTTGTTCTGCACCTGCACCATCTCTTCATCAACCTCTTTGATCGAGATCCGGCCGCGGAACATGGCGGCCACAGTCAAATATTTGCCATGTCGTGGGTCACAGGCTGCCATTAGGTTTTTGGCGTCAAACATCTGTTGTACCAGATCATGAACAGAGTAACTGCGATAGGCCTGTGAGTAGCGTGAAGTGAGAGGAGAGAAGCCGGGCAAAAAGAAATGTAACCGCGGGAAAGGTATCAAGTTGGTGCCAAGCTTGCGAAGGTCGGCATTGAGTTGGCCAGGGAAACGTAGGCATGTGGTCACGCCTGACATTGTCGTACTGACCAAATGGTTGAGATCACCGTAGGTCGGGTTGTTCAGCTTCAATGTACGAAAGCATATGTCGTAGAGCGCCTCGTTATCCAGCACAAAGCTTTCATCCGCCAATTCGACAAGTTGGTGTGTCGACAGCAAGGCATTATAGGGCTCCACAACTACGTCGGAAACCTAAAAACATTTTCGCCGCAAGAGAAGAGACGCAAGTGTTGGTAACTTGATAGGAGAGTGAGAGAGAGAGAGAGAAATAGTGAGGTTTAGGAGGCATAGACTGTTGTAGTATATGAAACCGAGTGAATTATTCCAATGTAATTTTTAAAATTAATCCATTAATTGTAAAAATCCAAAACATGCTAAAA